CACTATTTCACTTTTGTCGAGCACAAAGAAAAGAACGTTTTTGTTAAATGTAAGTTGTGTCTTGGCGGGTCAAAGATCCTATCTACTGCCCAAACCAGTAATTCAAATCTCTTAAAACATCTGCAAAAACAACATGCTGGGACGAAGCTAGTAGCTAAGACCACAGAGACTCAGCCGACGCCACTCCACCTCCACCTAAGCAACAGCGGCTGGATTTTAACCAAGGGACTGCTATCCAGGGAAAAGTGGATAAAGGGAGGCATGTGGCGCAGTGGATAGAGCCTTGGCATGGGGATCAGATGGTCACAGGTTCAAACCCCACTGCAGGCAGCATGTAGTTGTGTCGCTGGGCAAGACACTTCACCCCAAAGTGCTCCTGTGGGGATTGCCCACAGTATTGAGTAGGTCGCTTTGGATAAAAGCGACCTACATACTCAACATGTAATGTAATGTAATAAAGCCATTGCACGGTATGTTGTAGAACACATGCAGGCTATTGCTACAGTGGAGTCACCCGCTTTCAGGGAGCTAGTTAGCGTGATACCATGTCCGGGCGGCACACGGCATATTCTTTCACACACAGTGACGTCACAGCTACCCACAATGTGCACAATGCGCGCCATGTTTTTTTTTATAAAGACGCCATTTTTCTGGAGGTGCAAAAATCCTGGCGATGCTAATATAAACAGCTAGCTAATGTAGCCAGGCAGAGCGCACTAGGTTTTTTTTCTGAATTAACGACCGAAGAAATCGCCGCATGTCTTCGGATTACATCTCTGGACTTGAGGGGTGTGCTTTAGGTCGTTACCAGCGTATAGAGCTGTGTGGGTTGTTGGATGTACAATGTATGGAATTACGACCCTCAAAAGTGGCCTTCGGTCGATTTTGGCAGCATCTACGTCTATCTTCTGGAAACACCAGGTGAATACCCCACTTGTCACAATAATATTATCATGCCAATGCATATATGTGGTATTTTAGAGTTGACTATATTGATTAAAGAATAGACTATGATATTCTGCTTGCACCTCGTGTGAAATGGTTGATACCGGAAGTACGGTGTCGCCCTCGGCCCAAAACCCGTATGTGTGTGTGAAAGAATGGGACGGAAAACTTTTTCCAACTACCTGGAGAAAGAATATACAAAAATGGAAAGCCAGCTAATATCGATGCACTCCAGATTGCATATAATGCATGTCAAGTTGATCAACAGATTGTATAGCCTTCATTTCAGTACTGTTATTGCATTGGAGAATAATTAATGGGAGCCGTTTTTCTAAGTAACGAAAACGTTACTGTTCACAGTAACGCATTACTTTTTTCTGTAAGTAACTATTAATGTAACTGAGTTACTTTTGAAATGAAGTAACTAGTAATGGTAACTAGTTACTGGTTTTCAGTAACTAGCACAACACTGGATATGAGGCATGGCTAGAATGGGTGATCTGTTTGGTATTTTGAGCAAAACACTTCATAGCCATGTTTTTTATATATCTGAGACCTATGCTATTGCCTACAATAGCATGATAGGTGCACTTTAAGTTGTGCATGTGCAAATGGTTTTAATTGTATTGATTATATACATCAGACACTCTCTTCACTCCAACATAATGGAGGTGATAGTATTTAATTAGTAGAAAATGCATTGTAACATCAAAAGGGGCATTATGAGCCGAGTGACCTTTTTTTTGTTTAAGAAGTTAGTGCAAAATACTCAGGGCTCAACAACGTAAAATAACCAGTGGCGTTTTCTCCTGGAGGCCAAGGGAAGCCAGGCTTCCCCTGTTTTTTCGGATTGTAGTTATAATTTTAATAAATAAATAAAAACACTTTGTTTATTTTCGGAAATTCTTTGTTGTGTGTTGCTGCCGGCCCGTCTCTCCCCCATTCTCATTGAGTATTTTACAAAGAGTGAAACAGCGCCCCTCTAGATGTTATGGTGAAACAGTAGATTGCACTCTCTGTTGCGAGAGGAGGCTAGCTGAAATTGGCTTCCCTTGGTGAAAAAAAATGGAGGGATTGACCAATCAGATGAGGCTCACAAGGGAAGCCAGAGGCGGCTGGCTTCCCTTGCCTCACAATCCAATCAAATCGCATCAACTTAGTGCTGCAGTGACGCATCCTAAAACCCGGAAGTATGCTGCGCTCGGTTTCCCTCCACAAAAAAGCAATGGGATTTCTCCATAGGATTTTGGAAAATAGCTCGAAATAAGGTCAGTGGAAAACGAACCTGTTAGATAAATGCACATTTTGTTCAGTCGGATAATATCCATGTGTCTACCCTACTTTTATAATTTTCTAATCATAAATCGAATCGATAGAAGATAGATAGCACCACTGCACCACTCTCACCGCCGCTTGAACTGAAGCAAGTGCAATTATGGAGGATGGCGATTTGGAATATTTCATCAAAAAAATAATTGTACTAAACTTCCGCTACAGCAGCAACAACAAATACAATCTGATGACAGGCCGATGCCCAAACTGGAGCTGTGTACAGCGAGGAAAAAAGGAGCGAATCGGACGTAAAACGTTAAAGGTCTCCTGATTTAGTTTGTGAATGAATGCTTATTAGAGTTTGGGCTGGAGAGTGCGTGCGGACCTGTCGGTTAGATAACAGGCGTGTGTAAGTCCTGCATCTGTATGATACAAATGTGTGTAAAATGATACCGGGTAACTCATCTGGTTACGTTATTACATTGACCACCAAACCCCCGACCCAAAAGAAAGGACGTAGGCCTATTATTGGCTTCCCCTAATTTTTTCCCCACACCACGCTACTGAAAATAACGCATTTTTAGCGACCCACTTGGTATTTAAGTCGTCATCCCTCAGCTCAGCCATCTCCCAAAAACTCAACATGTCTCATTTAATCTCTTTAGATTTCATATAACGTGATCAGAGAGGCAGCTAAAAAATGCAGCCTTCCCTCTGCACAGCGGCGTGATTCAGTGTGTTATCTCTCAACACACCTTTCTGTTTCTCACCATCTGTTGCTCATAGTCCAAGAAAAACATCTATTTCTCCCACACAGTGCAACAGGAAACATCTGCTGCAGTGTGAAATGTGGCTGTACAGGATGCAGTTCATGTGGAAGTGGGGGGAGTATATTGTATGATTTTAAAAGGTGTGAACATATGACTATACACAGAAATAACTGAGTCTCTCTAAACCTGATTAAGGTGTTACTCGGGATTAATGCCAAGTGTGCTGTCAGCATAAGCAACAATGTGATGTTTTATTCATCATATTTATCACACTAAAACAAGTCTCCTGTCCTTCTGATTAATGGCCTCTTTTGTGCAGTGTGTTTGCTGATCAGGATCATCCATATTCATCTCTAGGATCAATGCACAGCTTTCAGAATGACAGGATTCGGACTTTACAAACACAACATTTAACTAAAGATGGATCTCGAGCTAAATAAACTATTTGCTTTGCTTTGGTGTTTTATAGGTTCTGCATGAAACTGTCTGCAAAGGCTAAAATCCTAAAGTTCCCTTAATGTTGTTGAACATTAAAGCATGGAGACTTGTCTAATGTTAACCTGAAATGAGCTAAATGAGCTAAATGTGTCAAAAAAGTATATCAAATAGGAAGAAACTGCATTTCTTTCTTTAGGTACATTTTCACGATAACACTAACATAGTTTTACTTGAATAAGGTTTTAATTGCATCACTTATTTCCGCAGTGAGGTTTTTACTAAGTGAAGGGTCTGAGTACTTCTTGTACCACTAATTATACTAATGTTTACACACACTATAAACGCTCCACTGTAACATTAAATATAATTGATCTGCTGTGTACTGTGTCTTCATCAGTCCTCTTTCTTTCTTCTGACTCAGCTTTTCTGCGAGAGCTCCTTCTTCATGAAACAAATCAATAAATGAACCTCACCAACGTGCACAAACACACAGGTTGCCTTCTGCATACAGCCTAACATCGCATTCAAAACATCCTGCTCTGGTAACTGTGACGCTTTTCTTGTGTTGGTCGGACAGGCCGGTCATTGTTAAGTGAAAACGTAATCACATGTTGTTCAGCCCAAATGAATTGCTGTGTTTATGCTCCTAATGAATCGCTATATAGCCTCTTCCAGTTCGGCTCACATTATCATCAAAGAGTGGTTGGATTTGATGCATATTTACAGGTGGAATGTGACTTCTTTGTCACGTTTGTCCTGCTGTTTCCAATCTGCCATTTGTATTACTGTAATGCAATCCTAAATTACTCATTGTTGCCTTAGACCAGGGGTGCCCACGCTTTTTCAGCTTGGGAGCTACTTTTAAAATGACCAAACCCAAATTATCTACCATCAGGGCTGCCCAATCTGTCTCGCGAGCCGGGGGGGGGGGTGCTAAACGGCGCTTACACTAATTGTGCTGCATGAGCGTACACTGTAAAAATATCCACCGTGAATTCACAATAATTACCTGGCAACTTGTTGCATGACTTTCACAGTAAGGTTCACAGCAATTTACTGTGAATGTCATCACAGCAATGTATTGTAATTTCACATCCATGATATTACAATGCATTGTTGTAAAGGTACAACTGTATACTGTAACTTCACAGCTTCAATTACTGTGATATTACAGTATGTTACTGGGGAATTACATTATTTTGTTGTACATTAATTACAACAAGGGCCTGTACTTTTACATTTCTATTGTGAAAGTACTGCAGGAGTAGCCAGTAATTTACTGTGAATTTACAATGTGTACTGTGAAAGTACTGCAGGAGTAGCCAGTAATTTACTGTGAATTTACAATGTGTACTGTGAAAGTACTGCAGGAGTAGTCAGTAATTTACAATGATACACTTGCATAACTGTAATTCCCAGCTCCAGTACTTCCTGGAGGAAGCTCATACAATGGTTTCCTGTCCAAGTTTAACAGGAAACCAAAGTGTGAGCTTCCTCCTGGAAGTACTGGAGCTGCACTATAAAAATGCACGTAATGTTATTGTACAATTAAAAACAACACACCAAACGCACAAATGAGGTAAAATCAATGGAAGCCCACTGGCATATTTATTGACAAAATAAACAACAGAGTAAACAAACAGGAACATGAACTAGTTCACCTCAACTATCCATAAAAAACAGATGAACCCTTAACGGATCCTTTAAACAAATAATCCCTCGCAGGTGAACTGACCGTAATGCTTCCCACTAAACTTGTCCCCGCACACCATGCAGTCTATGCAGACCATTCCAAGTCTATCAGCTTCCGGTGAAGGGTGCTCACGTGAGGGTTAATGGAGCTTCGCTTCTTTGCCTTGGAGCCTTTCTCCGGGTTGATGCCCAAGAAGCATCTGTTAATAAGCAAAGATAAGTTTCAGTTTTAAATACACTCATGTATTGCAGGCAGCATTTATCAAGGTGTTCACCTGTGTCTTTTCCCACACCGACTGTTACTAGTACAAACCTGTTGGATCATCCTCTCACAATACCATTATTTGTAGCCTAGCAGAGTGCCTCAGGTACCTCTAACATAAGGTTTACTTACTTATCTGAATTTTGAAGCCATACTATATTGTGAATTAAACCATTATGTCAATGTTTTAACAAGCTAGCCCAGCAACATCAAGTGATGGTGTGGTCCCAATTCGCATATTTGGTTCCAGGCTTCATACTCAAAGCATTTAATCTACTTTATAGCCTCTGTAGAAAGGCATGGACTTAATTGCAAGATAGTGAAACACAAATTTGCATGACAAGTCTTACTGATGACATTGATCATGTGTTTGAGTGTTACAATACCTTTGGATGAACTCCAGTGTGCATGATCCAACGGGATATTTGAGGTTGAAGACATAGTAGCTGCTGAATAAAGCAGCTAGCCCATGCAAAAAAAATGGGTGTGGGCCCATTACCACTTGTCCCTCGATAGCATCCACCCAGAAGGCTTCATTGTGTCACCTGAAATGAACAGATACCCCGTCATGCGTTATTGTGGATAGGTACATTCCCAGAATCAATCAAAAATAATACTTGAGCTAGAGATGTCAATACCAGATCCGAGTAACATTCATGATTGCCAAGGACCAAAAAGCAGGAAAATATACAGTGCAGAGCATGCAAGGACATGACACAGAACCCTCCAGGTGGACAGCACTTTTCTACTCCACCATCAGTGAGGTAGGCTACTTAACAGTCACTGTAAAAGCATCAAAGGTGTTTGTGCAGATAGGAGAATCTGGCTGAACGACAAAGCAACTCCCTAGCCCTCCTCCCTCTGCCTTTATGGATAGACGGTTTAACCTCATTCCTCTATGGGTAGATGGTTACGAGCCCAGCTAGAACGAGAACATGTCAACTCGTCAGACCCCTGAATCATTGAAACAGGCTATAGATTTTAACTAACGCGAATCGCTGAAACATATGGCGTCAGAGTATCGTAAGTGTCGTTTCACAGACTGGACTTGAATGGAGTGCAGGAGAGATGGAAGGCCTTCAGTCAGATTCTCCCCTTGATGCAAAGGAACACTTAAGCTCTTTAGAGTAACTATTCAGTATCCTATACCTCATCGATGGTGGAGCAGAACAGGGATGTCCTAAGAGAAATTATATAACTAGAATAAAAGCAGCAGTGAAGTCTAGCCATTCAGGTCAGAAAAGCAGGAAATCCAGTATAAACAGGAAAAATCCCAACCCTGAACATTACATTACCTTGAATGATCAAGCAGGGGGTGCTTGGGAGTGCTGCAGTATTCACTACATCAGCAGCAGTGGCACAGGTCTGTAACAAAGTAACACACAATAGCATAGATTTAACATTATGCAAGGATGAAGATCGTTCATTGGTCAGAGGTAAATCAGAACATAATAAATGGTCTAATAATAATAATTACTTGCATTTATATAGCGCTTTTCAAGACACCCAAAGCGCTTACAAATGGACGTCCGCAAACCAATGTGTAGCCCCCGCCTGGGTGATGCTAAGGCAACAGCTAATCCGCGCACTACAGCTCAACACAGATCAGCTCGGCCCATTTGGAGCAACTTGGGGGTTAAGTGTCTTGCTCAAGGACACTTCCGACATGCGGACAGTCAGAGCCAGGATTCGAACCACCAACCCTACGGTCGATTAACGACCAGCTCTACCAACTGAGCTTCAGTTGCCCCTAATGTAATCACTCGTTTAGCATTTTAAATATTTAAATAAATTTAAAAAAACTTACATCAACTTCGAGCATCAGTTTCTCCGTAGGCTCCTTAAAGTAGACCATAAGGAGCTGGAGGATGCAGGCAGCCTTCTCCGAACCCTCTGGATCATAGCTGGCCAGAAATTCCCTGATCTTCGGGTTGTCCAGTTTCTGACAGAAATGCAGGATGGTCTGTCCTCTCTGATGACCTAGAAAAAAAGGAGACCAGAGAAAGGAGAAATTACAAAGGCAACCAACAAAAGGAATTTTTCAGTTTGCATGCAGATTATGAACATGAGCATGTTGTAAAGGTGTTCAAGGTCAGGTAGTCGAGCATCCCATTTAGACGAGACAGCAGTCACAATCATATCGAAATGTTAACTACCTTAGCTGCAACAACACTCGAACAGTCACTAGCAATTTCCTCGAGGATGGCGCACGCACACCAGGATCACGAGGATGTCAAATCTGGAATAGAGGCAGTAAAAAACCACCACAGGGAAGCAAGAGAGGTAAGCTCACATAAATGTACTGTCAAACAGTATTGGATGAAGTGATTAATCTCAGGTGTGCTGCACAGGTAACAAATGTCTGAGCTTCAGTACTTCATGGAGGGAAGCACTGGAGCTGGGGACTGCAGTTATGCACAGTCTATAAACTACGGTCTGTGTTGCATACTAGGCCTACCTCCAACTAGGAAGCAATCCGTGGATTGGATTTAGGCAATACACCTCGTCGCGTCGGTCAACACCAGGCAGGCAATCAGTAGGCCTAGAGCAAGATACAAGATCTGTTTATTCGCCATGTAGTTTTACAACATACTAGAAATGTGTTGCTGGTAGGTACTGACATAAAGACAACATTGGACAGGGTGCAGGGACAAGACAGGACAAGTGCAAAACAGGACAGTGTACAAAATGCAGGTAAAAGTAGAAGCTAATTTAGGCTAGAATAGTATAGAAGTAAAATAAGATTTAAAAAATTGTGTTTTCAGAGAAATAACATTACGCATTGCAATAACCTATAAACATTTCAAACCTATAAACATTGCGAATCTGTAAACATTGTGAAGAGGCAAGAGAGTTTGGTAATCCTTTATCATCCAGAGTAGTGTTGATGAAAGTATTGAGTGATTGAAACTTTGCTCGCCACAGGGTGGCGTCTGTAACGCACATATTAACATAGGTACGCTCCTCTGAAATGATTGTCCCCTGCAATTATTATTATCCCTCAATCGAGATCGCTATTCAGCTCGCTAACGTTAGCTTAAACAAACGTAACATGCAACGTTAGCCTAATCTAAAATGCTCTACTACGGCGTACCTTTCATGTGGCTCGTCAGCTCAGACTCTCGCATCGTTATTTTTGCAAACTTTGCAGGAGGCTACTCGTGGGCTTGACCCTCGTCTTAGCCATGGCTTGTATTTGTCTTCTGCTAGCCAACGCTCGTTGAAACTGCAACCTCCTGGCACACTGTCATCTATCTCTCTCATCAGAATGCCCAGGTCACACGTAACACAAACACTTGCAGGTCGCGCGCATAGCGCGGGAAGTCCGCAGCGGAGCTGTTTTAGAAGCGAAGCAATTCTTTTCTTTTAATCTAAAAAGCGAACTATTCAGTCAGACAGCAATTTATTGTAAAAGTAAAGCATTTACATTTTCAAGCACTTTATCTCAATTTCAAGCACCATTTCCAAAATTCAAGCACTTTCCTAACCTTGAAAACACCACGTCAAATGTCAAGCATTTTCAAGGATTTCAAGCACCCGTACGAACCCTGAGTAGTACAGTTAAAACCTTAACGATCCGAATAATCGATGAATCGATAGATTCATCGATTATCAAATTAGTCGTGTGTTGCAGCCCTAGTGATGACACGTGGTGACACCAATGTGCAATAGGGTCTGTGACGAATTCATTAAGAACATTGTAAGAGCAACTAACGTTACCAACTTTGACACCGATTTAGATTAGGTCTAATTTGATTAGACAATGTCATGAAACCACCAAGCACCTAGCACAAGAAACATTCATTAGCTAGCTAACATCAGCTAACCTACTAGTAAGTTAGTTAGACCATGGCGTCAGAATTCAAACTTAGCAGCAATGCTAAGCTAACTAGCTTATACCAATGGCAATTATACCAGTCTTACCGGTTAAAGTATTCATTGTTCGCTCTTTCATTCGAATACAGCATAAGCCTTCTGCCAACAAATGGAACAGTCAGCAACAGTTGGCTGGCTAGCACCAGAGCCATCTACCATAGCCATATACGGCGCTGGCTAGCACTAGCTAGGCTAACGTTAAGGCCACCTGCTTGAAGGTGGACATGGCTGCTATCAAGCTAATGTTACTAGCTAACGCTAGCTATCTATTCGCTACCATGTACAAACCAACACGACACTACTCCACTGGCGTTCACAATCGAAAGCACATAATATCCACCACTAATCCACATTATGGGCAGTACTTACTTGCTGTTTACCGATGGTAACCGCTTTGGAGAAACTCACAGATGTTCACCTTGACTGTTGCCTCCGTGCGAATTTTCGAAAGGATCGAGGCATCTCTGTTAGGAGGCTTTGGGTTCCTCAATGCGCGATATGATTGGCCGTTCGAGCGATGACGTTCCGTTTCGTCCCTTCAAACGTGACACCTACGGTTAACAGGCAAACCAGTGGACAAATACCCAGAAATGACGTTTTTTCTGGCGTGTATGTCACGTGATCTTCAACTTTCTCAGCAGAATAAAATAAATATAAATATATCAGCAATTAAACAACATATTCCATTTCTTTTCACACAATACGTCTCCTTTCAGTATCAACACTAATTCGGCTGACTTATATATTTGATCCAATTGGTAGATAGGGACACCTAGTGGTTAAAGCACGTTATTGAAATGTTTTGTTGAATAATCTTTCATCTTTAATAACCTGACTTTGGAAAGGGCTGGAAAGATACTTTTTTCACCAGGGGCCTCTAAATAGGGCCCAGATAAGAAATATGAAATATGGGAACCGTAACTCACCCAGACATTTTTTTTTTCAATCTAATGTCAAACTCTCACAAAATCCTGTCTAGAGCTAAAGATTGGACACCCTTTGGTGAGGGAGGGAGAGAAAATTGAAAAAAATTGAAAAAAGGTGCTTGGCGCTTCGAGACTTTGAGAGTGTGTTGCTTCACTTGTGTGGAACCCGCTTGCACAATTTGGGGCCGCGGTGACCTTCAACCAAGTCTCAAACTAAGGTTAAAGGTCATGTTTTCATGGCTCTCAGTACTCTAGACGGCACAAAGGAAGGTCCGACAGCTTTGAGCTTGGTGTCGTTGGAATCGCCTCGAAGAGTACATGCAGATTCATCCCTCTGCTGCTCCGAATGTCAAACGTTACGGCTTAAAACGGGACAAAGCCTTCCATTATGCCGCTTTCACTCTCGCTCTTGTGGTGACAGAGCACGCCAATTTTCCCGCATGCTAGGCAGACAAGAGTATTCTAGTTAGCTTTGGTTTGATGTGGAGATGTGATTTGATGTGTCGTTTGTCCCCCAACTCCTCTCCAAAGTTGAGATATGTAATAAAATACTCAGGGGAGTTTCCTGAATTTTCATGCCGAAAGCCAAGCACTAGGCCCTGGGTAAATTAAGACGCTGATTTGGGGCACTTTTTCCACTTTCCCTGGTGCTAGAAACTCAAGTCAGGCATCCCTGGAATCGTTGTAAAAATACATTTCTAGCTAAACGTAATTGAGAATGCAGTTTAGTTCTGTGGGAACGTAATTTTTAGGAGACAGGGTTGCCAGGACACACGCCGATTAGAATAGTCTATTCTGCACATGTGCAATAGTGCACAATTCAAATTTTACAGTAATGAGTTGTGCTCTTTATATACAGTCTATCATGGTTGTGCTAAGATGATTTTGAGTACAGTGCTTTACTGTGAAATAATAGTTAAATAATGTGAAATCCAATTCTACTGTTTTATAGATATTTTGTTGTGATATTACAGGGGCTTTTGATTACAATATTTCTCTGTAATATGATACTCTTAAATGCTGTGAAATCCTTGCAATTTTTACAATGTTGTTGTGATATTACAACATTTGATGTGATATTACAGAGGATTTTGATTGCAGTATTTTATTGTGAAATAATAGTTAAATGCTGTGAAATCACAAGGATACAGTCCTTTTTACATGTATTTGTTGGGATATTACAGGGGGCCTTGATTACAATATGTCACTGTAAAATAATACTGTTAAATGTTGTGAAATGCTGGTAATTGTTTACAGTGTATAATAGTATAATAGTGCGCTGCATTTGCGCTTCAGGTGAGGAGGTGCGGCCCCCTCATAACTGCATGAACCCGTATGGCACAATACAACTCAGACTGGCTTACCTGTACGTCAATCAAGTGGCAAATGCCATAGTAAGGATGGATGATAAGCTAACTTTAAAAATAAAAATAAACTACCCACACTACCTTCGCGATCGGCGTATTGGGCACCCCTACCTTACCGAATGTGATGTCTATATTTGCTGCTTGAATCTCCTTAACTGGCTATTTGATAAGCAAGTCCTCTTGAATAAATGAAGTCCTCACAGACAAACATACATTTTTTCTTGTCTGTATTAAAAGTATCAGTGACGAGGCACCAAACCAAGCCTGTGAGCAAAAGATCCAAAGTCAAAGTCCTCAACATGGAGGAAACTAAATACAGTAAGGAAATGAGGATCCTGCATCTTTATGTGAAATGCTGTTATATAATTGTAAACTGCATATAGCACCCGTACTGCACCTCTTCAGCAATTAACACGTGGCATAAAGAGTGAGCTGTGTGTGTGTGTGTGTGTGTGTGTGTCAGTGTGTCGGTGTGTGTGTGTCGGTGTGTGTCGGTGTGCTTCAGGGGCTTCGCAGCATCTGTTGATCTGTCCTGTTGACTGAACATCTATTAGTCATGAGACACACACACACACACACACACACACACACACACACACACACACACACACACACGTTATAACTAGTGACAGAAGTGTGTGTGCGCACATCCAAAAAAAGGAGGTCAGTCACAAAAGTGTTAGTAAATTATTTTAAATATACTGTCGATGATATTATGTTTTTTTTCTTATTTGTGTATCTAATAATCATTATATACAATACGATATGATGTAATACAATACAGTACATCACAATACTTATTGAAACATAAACATATGAACACATGACTTATGTACATATGCACAGTTTGCACATACACAGTAAACAGACACTGACAATGGAGACCTCTTGCACATCCCTCATGGCCAACACTTACATCTATAGATCTGTAATGTTTAACATGAACCATCAT